GATACCCACAGGCTTCAGGCCAGACTAAGAGTTGATGGGAGTAGAAGCTGCCTGCAGGTCCTGAAGGACAGAGGCAGTGTCAGAAAAACAGTCTATATTCCAAGCACGGGAAGAGAGGAGGCGCGTGAAAGGACACTTGAGAGGTGCATAGGAAAGTCAGGTGACCCAGAGAGGCCAGCACAAGACAGCTTGAGCCACAGGCTCCCCGGAGGGAGGTGGGGATGGGGGTTTGGGTGGGACGGTGTGGAGGGAGCCGAAGCTGCTTCCAAAAGGCAAGGCAAGGCCAGGCGAGAGGGAGGAGATGCCACCCTCGGGCCAAGCGCGCAGTTCGAACAAGTCTCAAAGTAGTCGCGGACTTTGATGGGACGGTAGCAAAGTCACACTATATGGCTTGAAGGGGTACCATCTTGGGGGTCGATTGTTAAGAAAAGAAGAGGAGCCCAAGAAGAGGGCGCAGGGCACAGGGACCGTCCAGGCGGGCGCAGTGGAAAGAGGCAAACTCACACATAGAAGTGCAGACGGAGAGCGCGAGCTCCATCTCCAATGCCCGGGAGCAGATCACCTCAACCCCGCATTAAACCTTCCCGGATTAACAAAGGAAATTGGGTAGGAACTTGGGGGAGTCGTTCTCTGACCGGGTGTTGGTAGACCCAGTGGTGGTCACATGAGCCCAGTGCTGTGGTGCCCAGCTGTTAGTGCTGTGATGAAGGCTGAGGTCAATTCGCAGACTCACGTAGCACAGGAGTTTCCTGAGCCTTCTGGACTCAGCTAGCTAGAGTCGACTCCGCTACTTCGGGGCAGAGTGTTAAGAGACAAAAACAAAATGTCACGCTGTTCCCATACCGGGAGTCGAACCCGGGCCGCCTGGGTGAAAACCAGGAATCCTAACCGCTAGACCATATGGGAGCTGACGGCAGGTGCCTCTGTTTTGTCTACTATGTCATCTACGTCAGCAGGGACGTTTGCCCAAACCCCACCCCTTCGATTTTTCAGCATCTTCACTTCCTGGGGATCCCGCGGCTGCCCCAGTCTGGTGGCCGGAAGGAGGGAAGCTCGCTGTGAATGGAAATGGGGCGGAAGTCAGCAGCCAACAGCAGTTTGCTGAGCACTGTTTTCACCCTATGGCAGTAGTGTCGCGCTTACCGGAGCCCGGCACACCCCAAGCCCAGGCCCGCGGTAAATGCCTTTGTGGGCTCGACCTAGACTCAATCCTGTGGACACTGGCGTGATCAGCATTCCACGAGAGGTCCTCCCGCACGAAGAATTCACAGTCATCACAATTGAGTTCTGTCCTCTCTGCATGCAGAGATGTCACTTTATTGTTAACTCAGCCGACTGGCGTGATGGTGGATGTCTTTAATGCTTTTAACTCGGAAGGCAAAAACTGCTCAGTTCTTGTAGGTCACACCCCTCCTGGTTTACACACTGCCCTTCTCAAATTAAAAACAAAACGAAGGGCAGAGGACCATTTTTCTCTTTAGTTGCAATAACCCCAAGCATACAGGCCCCAGAGAATCTGGAAGGGGAGCAGGTACTATACCCATCTCACACAGGCTTGTAATTTGCTGTTAGTCTTTTTGCTCTTTATCATAAAAAGCTGGTAACAACCTTTAAATAATTTTCAGATACTCAGCCAGAAAAATTTACAGCATGAACTTTGATAGAAAAGTTGGGCACACGGTTCACTGAACAACCCAGCTGAAACCACAGTAAATTATGATTCCTTTATTATCACATTAATACAATCCCAGATCCAAAAATCATATAAATTATGATTGATTTAAGGGAGTCTGAAGTGATGGCTTTGTAGTTAAGGGCACTTTCTGGCTGTTTTTCAAGAGGACTCAGGATTTCCCAGCACCCATAAGGCAGCTCACAGCCATCTGTAAGTCAAGTTCCAGGAGATCCATTGCCCTCTTCTGGCCTGAGGGCATGAGGCAACCACTTGGTGCGTAGGCACACACGCTGGCAGAACACCCATACACACAAATAAAATAAAATTGATTTAAGAAATGAAAGAGCTTGGGGACAGTTACCCTGGCTTTCACTTTATTCAATTTTTCTGTACAGTGTTACGTATTTTTACAATTAAGAAGTAGAAAAACCAATATAAGGAAAATTAAATCAGGAAGAAGTATTTACACCCTATAAATGGTTACATCCCTCCTCAAACACAAGTCTCCAGACACTGCTCAAGTTAGCTCAACAGAAAAGTGCAGCAGGACACAGTTCCCAGACACAAGAATACAAGTTCGGGAAGCAAAGAGGCTGGACTATCCTTCTATAAACAAAAGTGGGAGGTTCCTCCAAGTTCCTTGAGAGAATGTCAAAGTGTCTTTTTTCCCTTTTATAATAGAATACCCCCTCCTACCTGACAGTCTGCTCTGGAGTGTGTGTGTGTGTGTGTGTGTGTGTGTGTGTGTGTGTGTGTGTGTGTGTGTGTGTGTGTGGTCTTACATAATTTTAAAGGGTCTCTAACTCCAGGGCTTAAGTGATCCTCCTGCCTCGGCCTCTAGAGTTGCTGGGACTATAAGCACGGACCACATGCCCAGGCAGAGGTATTTTTACTGACTGGAACTGTCCTGATCTGGCCTAGGTCTGCAGATTCCTTTTCTTCCCTCCACCATGCATGCTGGCTCTGCCGAGGTTCCTCCTTTGTTCACGGACTTGCCCACAAGGAGGGAGGCCCTATGAGAACGTGCACCTACAAGAGGTTTCAAACAAACTGCTTTCAACACTGCTCAGCTTGCCTCATCAAACTTCCTAACTCAACTTCCTAATTCACAAGGCTGGAAACAATACAGACGAAGGGCATTTCTAGGAGGGGCAGTAGCTGAGATGGGGCTATTATGAAAGATGGCCTGAGTAAGGCAGCGACACCCAAGACGGCTATGCTTAATGCCTTTGACAGTAGATTCAGATCAGGCAGGTCCAGGGTCCAACTCCTTCAGTTTTTTCTGGAGGCCCCGGACCTGACCCCGACCCCAGTTGATTCGAGTCTGGAGGTTGGCTATATCTGCAGCCAGCTGAAGGCCTGGGGAGAGAAGAAGAATGTCACCGTGGTATGACACAGGGACCTACCCACCCCCACCTCAGGACCACAGGAGCATCAGCCCTCTCTGGCCTCTACAATAGTCTAAGTGTTCCAGCTATGACATCGGCCCATACATACATACCCTCACCTCCTTAGCACCTCATCTGTGCTAAATCATCATCTCCTCAAAAACAGCCCCCTCCCCCCCCATTCACCGTGCTTGCCAGGAATGAGCACCTCACAGATCGATCACACGAACCTCATGGTCTCATTTCCTCGGTCCTGCAAACCCTCACTGTTCTGAGCTGCCCCCCCCCTTCTTTGCACCTGAGCGTGACCCACTCTCTCAATCCACCCCTCGGCTACACCCACCTCTGCTCTCTATCCCTCTACCTCACCCAGCAGGCCAGGCCATCCTGTCTTTACCCTCCAGGGCAGCAGAACTGAAGACTCATGTCCCCAGTCCTCCAGGGAACGCTTCTTCAAAATTCTTAGATTCTAGGACACCCCAGTCTGTGGGTCCTGGCCTGCAGTCTCTTCTTCAGTATCCCCTGGCCCTCAACTCAAATTTCCTGTTTTCGTTGTCAACAACTTGGGAAAGTCAACGCCAGCACTCCACCCTGGCATTCCAAATCTCTCTCCCGTACAGACACCGGTGCCGAACCACCAGAACCTGCACACAATTGCCACTCAGCTTTCTCTCGGCTGCTGCCTGGTAGGCTGCCCACCCCCACAGGAGGAACAGCTCTATCCTCCCAGAGTTCTGAGAGGACTCCTCTCTTTCCTTCCCTCCTGCATTTAAGCTGTCAGCAAACACTGGGGCTTCCATTCTCAAAACGTGTGCAAGTTCCCCCTGTTTACCTCCATTCCAATGCCTCTACCTACATCCCACGGCTGGCCAATCCTGGTACCTGCCTGCTCTCTGCTCTCCAGTCTGTCCCCACTCAGCATCCCAAGGATTCTTGTTACCGATTCATCCTGATTCTGGATCCACCCACGGAACCTCACCAGAGCCTGGCTCCCTGGCCCCAGCTCCCGGTATCCTGCTCTGCTGACTCCACTCCAGCCCTCTGGCCTCCTCTGCTTTCCCCCCAGGCCACATACCCCCCTAAGCAGGGCTTCTGCCCTAGTAACTAGACCAGCCAGAGCCTAGCTGGTCTCCTTAGCTAGAACAGATTCTAGCTAAGTTCCTGCAGATCACTCACAAAGCTCTTCGTCTCCTCGGAGAGGCCTTTCCTGTCCCATCTTCATGAACCAGGTCCCCAGCCCACTCCCTCCCATGTTACTTTTTTCATGACTTTCAGAGCCTGGAACTACAATAAAAGTCTATTTGTTGCCTATCTATGTATACACGGTCTTTCTCCTACACAGAATAAACGCTCCACTTTGTCCCTGCTGCTATTATATGCCTTAGCAGTTAACAAACCCGAACCCAGAATGCTAAGGGCAGCCAGTGAATGCTTTTGGGGAACCCCCCCAGCAGACATGCAACACAGTTTGCTACAGTGAAAACCTGCAGAGTCCTCACTTGGTGTTATCAGTGTGCAAGTGCTCCCTGTAGATAAAGGGCTGGAATTCAGTACATGGCTACAAAGCCAACAGGGTCCACTCACCATCCCGGAAGCTGGCCTGGGCCTGCCGAAGACTGTGAGGAACCAAGATTCCAAACCAGTTCAAGGGATCTTGAGGGACCACGGAGGTCCCTGACACTTGGGTCTTGGTAGGGCCCTTGCGCCTGCGCAGAGCTGGAGAAAGAAAGGTTAAAGGCCATACAGTCTTCATGACCACAGTGAGTTTATTAACCTAAGTTCACAGTTCTGGAAAACACTGAAGGTTAGAAATTTCCCCCAACAACCCGTGGTGGTGCACGCCTTTAATCCAAGCACTCGGGAGGCAGAGGGAGGTGGATCTCTGTGAGTTCAAGGCCAGCCTGGTCTACAGAATAAGTACCTGGACAGCTAGGGTTGTTACACAGGGAAACCTTGTCTTGAAAAACCAAAAAAGAAAAAAGACAAAAAGAAAAAGAAATCTCCCCCAACTTTTTTGTGTCTAGAAATATTACTACCTTTCCTTTTGTAATCCAGGTGACTGTGTGTCTACTGACTTCGAGAAGGGATGATTCTGTTTGCCGGTAACAAGATCACAGACTGACCTTGCCCCTTTTTCCTAAATGTTCTGGAAGACCCTGAAATTCCCCATTCTTTGTCTCAGGAATGATTAACTAGGATTAGAGGTTTATTTCCAAGGAACACTTACAGAGATGCACATTTTCCGTTCAGCTGATGAGACTTCCTTTGACTGCAAAACCTATCCCACTATAAAACGGCCCGCCTATAACTTCCTATCAAAGTATAAGAAAGAGCCGTCCTAAGACATTCCAATTGTCTCCAGCTGAGACGCGCTCCATTAACCAGATCCCAAATAAAAGTAATCCTGAGTGTTGAGTGAGTTTTGCCTTTAGCATTAAGAGCTGACAGGGGGGGAAAGAGAACTCACATGCCTCGCTGGGTCCCACTTCCTCGGGGGTCTGGGCATCAGCTTTGATCACCCTGAAGGTCTGGGGTCCATCCTGGGCCTCGCTGTAGTAGGAGAAAGAAGATGGATCTCTCTGGCCACGCAGGCCTACGTCCTGCCCACCCCAGTCTACCTGGAGGGTGCCTCACCTGGCGCGCACGCAGATCTGAGGCTCCATACACGAGGCATACTGCAGGGGCCCCACCGACTTGGCGCCCATGGCATAGCGAGCCTTGGCAAGCGAGAACCATCCCTGGGGAGGCAGGAGAGACTTCAGACTCGGCGTCCCTCTCCGGGCCCCGCTCTCGGGTCCCTCCCTCCAAGTCCCCGTGGCCCCACCTCCTCCACCCGGGCGTTCAACGCCGCCCGCTTCGCCTCCAGTTCCTCCAGGTCGTTGAGCAGCTGCAGGTACACCGAGTCCAACTCCTCTCGCAGGGCCGGCACCGCCATGGCCCAGCCGCTCCCGGGACGCGGAGGAGCTAAGCCACCGCCTCCCACCCAAGCCGCCTACCCACCGCTAGCGCATGTGCGTGCCAGCCAATCGGAGCCCGAGACCCGCCTTCAGGGGGCGGTCCCAGTCCTGGCCCGGAAGTCAGAGGCTACAACATCCGGGTCCCCCGGATCAACGGCCAGGGCACGCCGGGCACCAGGACGCCGGCCCTAGCGCCCGAAGTGGGGCATTTCTTGAAGCGGATGGTTATGAACAGTCGGGCCTTGACTCCAGGAAGCCATTCATCTCGTTCTCCGCTTCCAGTCTTCGCGCGCCGGCGGTTTGACACGGACTAGTGAATCCGCGGGCAGACTCATTCATCTGCGCTGTCTTAGACCACGTGACCTTCCGCATCCGGGAACTTGGTTGGCGGCCGGCCTGACCAATAGCCTGGCGACGCCCTCCGCCATCTAAACATGGGGCCCTCTGGACGGCAGTCGGGTCGAGTGGCGACGCCTCCCGGGGCCATCTTGGTTGAGGGCGGAAGTGAGCGCTGCGTGGTGCCGGAGTTGCCTGAAGATCCCAGACGCGTGTGGGAGCGGCGCTCAGCATGGTAGGGTGTTTGAGTTCGCGTTTTGGCTGGACGGGGCGGGGTGGAGGGCGAGGGAACGGGGGACTGATGGAGGGCTGGGTTGCTGGGTTGTGGTCCTCGGTGGTCGGAAGTAGATAGCGACTCGGTCTGTCCCCCCAGCTCCGCCGGGAGGCTCGCCTGCGCCGCGAGTACCTGTACCGCAAGGCCCGGGAGGATGCGCAGCGATCCGTTCAGGAGAAGAAGGAGCGAGTCAAGCGTGCTCTGGAAGGTACTGCCTCTCTAGTCTGGTGGGGTCCTAGCCCTTGCTAGAGTATGCCATACAGTGGTGCAAACGCGTTTGAACGTCGCGTATTAGTGTGGCCGAACATCGTTCCCCTCTTTGCCTGTTGGGTAGGACCTCTCTGGTTTCTGAATGGTCGGTCCCACCAGATAGATATGGTGGTGTGGCTATTGGTGCCGCAGCCCTGTATGTTTACAGGTTGATTGTTAGTGTTGCTTACAGAAGTTTAAAATTTGGCCTTTCTTTTGTCCACACTTCCATTTGTCTCATTAAATGAAGTTCCTGTATCACAAAGCTTAATTGGAAATGTCATATTTACCCCTATTTTGTTGGTTCTGTTTCCAAAGAGCTTTGTGCCTGTCTGATAACACATCACCTCTGGTACCTCTGACTACATTCTCATTTTGCAGTTCCTAAGACTTATGACTGTAAAGTATATATGTGTTAAGAAGCATAATGTTAGAGCTAGGATCGCACCTTAGTTAGACTGCTTGCCTAACTTGAAAGGGGCTTTGGATTGTGCCTCCAGCCTGACTAAACTGGGCCTGGTAGCCTGTGCCTCTAATCCCAAACTGGGGAGTTGGAGGCAAGCAGATCAGGAGTTCAAGGCTTGCTCTGGCTGCATGAGTTCCAGATCAGCTTGGGCTGTATAATCATAATGTTAAGGGTCTGTGACCCATCTTCATAACTAAAAAAAAAAAAAAAGGAGGTGACTGTAAAGATGACTCAAGGGTTAAGAGCACTTACTGCTCTTACAGAGGACCCAAATTCATTACCTAGTACCCACATGGAATGGCTCACAACTGCCTATAACCCCAGCTCCAGGGGATCTAGTGTCCTCTGGCAGCAGCCATCCTCACATGTGTAAACTTAGGTAGGCACACACATACACAAAAAGAAAAAAATAATTGATTTATTAACATTTATAATGATCACTATATTAAATATTGCGTCAAAAGGAACCATTTTTGTTATATTAGTATATGTGTTTGGCTGCTTTATTTGTTTGGGTGGGGGCACTCAGTATTGTTTCTAAGATCCAAAAGGTATGGCTAGACATTCCTTGTGAGTATCCCTGGGGAGAATCCTTTTCCTGGGCAGATAGGAGCTTATTTTCAATTGGTACTAGAAAGAGTGCTGCTGCCGGGACCCTGCCCTCTACCCCCACATGCTGGAGAGCAGAAGTGGGCCTGTGGATGGCCTGCTCAAATGTGTTTTATTTTCCAGAGTGGACACACCTCAGCTTAGCCCCTGGCTACCCCACTTTAGCCCACAGAAGAAATCTCTGACCCACAACCAGCTGAGGCCACTCACCTTGAAGTGTTCTGTGCATCAAGTCTGGCAATGTTCTTTTTATATTGTTTTGCTATTATTGTTTTAGAGGCAGGGTCTTACTTTGTAACCTTGGCTGACTTGGAGCTCACTGTGTAGACCAGACTAGCCTCAAACTCATTGAGATCCATCTGCCTCTGCCTCCTAAGCCCTGGGATCAAAGGCGTGGGCCACCACACCCGGTTTAATGTCCTTATGTGAAGATTTCTCGGGGTCACTGGTCTGCCTTCCTAGTAAGGAGCAGTCTGTTTCTTTCAAAAAAAGCAACTCTAGTTTTTGTAGTATTTCTTAGCACCAGGGTCTTATAGACTTGTAAGCAAACTGCCCACCATTGAGTTACCAAAACTTCATTAAGTTTTTGTCTGGTTATAAAAATGATCCATATTGAAAATGATAAAGTGTTTTAGAAAATGAGCTCCCCAGGTGCCGTAAGTTGACAGTGAGGTGAAAAGAAGTTGGTAACTGGGTGTTGTGTCACACCCTATAATGTCAAGTTAGAAGCTAAAGCAGTGCTTATTTATGAAATGAGTAAAGTGGCTGGTTTATTACTTCTGTTTCTCCTGTATTTCTGTACTGACTTGTTAAGAAAGAAGCACAATGCTTTTCCATCAAATTTGTGCAGACTAGTAAACCACACAGTATTCTATAAATTGATGGGACCCTGCTGTGCCTCACTCTGCCCCCTGTCTTTTCCTTGCAGAAAACCAGCTGATTCCCACTGAGCTACGCCGGGAGGCTCTAGCCTTACAGGGGTCCCTGGAGTTTGATGATGCTGGCGGTGAAGGTAAAACTGTGCTGTGCTGCCCTCTTCCATACTGAACCAGCTTCTCCGCTCACTGGGCTTCTCGTCCTCTTCTGCCACACCGGGCAGTTTCCCCCCTGACAGAATTGTCGAGATGCGCTGTTTCTGTACCCATCCCCAGCTCCACAGGGGCTCTCCCCAAATGAAGGCTTTTACTCTTTGCTGACTCGCCCTCACTGGATTGCCTGCTGAGCAGAACACTGTCCTTGGCACTGGTACCCAGATGTCTCATTCATTGCATTATTTAATAAGCAGAAAAGGAATCACAGATATGATAGATGTTTATTGTGAGGAGAAGGAGTCGTCTCAGCTCTTGTTTTACCAGTTCAGAGTTTTGGGACCATAGACTATGTTATTGCTCAGTTGTGCTTGGTAACCAATGTAGCTGCCCTGGCCACCAGATGTGCGTTTCCATCAGTGAAAGTTCTTGAGCAGACTCAGCATTTTTCTTGTCTCTTGTTCTTCTAACAGGTGTGACCAGCCACGTAGATGATGAATATCGATGGGCTGGTGTTGAAGATCCTAAAATCATGATCACTACCTCCCGAGACCCCAGTTCTCGCCTGAAGATGTTCGCAAAGGTACCAGGGGGTGGGGAAGAGGGAATTCCCCGGGACCAGTGGCCTCAATTCTAATTTGACATTGGTCCATGGGCAGGAACTGAAGCTGGTGTTCCCAGGTGCCCAGCGCATGAACCGAGGTCGGCATGAGGTTGGCGCGCTGGTGCGAGCTTGCAAAGCCAATGGGGTCACCGACCTGTTGGTTGTCCATGAGCATCGAGGCACACCTGGTAAGGCCTGCCAGAGGGAGAGGGAGCTCGGGCTGTTCTCATGGCAGAGTGTCTGACAGCCTGTCGCCTACAGTGGGGCTCATTGTCAGCCATCTGCCCTTCGGTCCTACGGCTTACTTCACACTGTGCAATGTGGTTATGCGGCATGACATCCCTGACCTGGGCACCATGTCAGA